TGGAATGATTAAATGTAAAGTCTCATTTTTTCACACAAATCTTAGCAGTCGATAAGAATAAGACATCAGTAGCGGTAATAGCTATGGCAACGTGATAGCCCTAATCTAAAGCCGCAGCTTTGAACAAACTCACTAATAACTTCTCCCGCGATGCGATTTTAGTTTCTGGCGCCGCAGTTTTAACACTTGATCTGAAAATGGGAGACGATAAGCGCCTTAGGTTAATGGTCCGGTGTTAATCCAAAGACAAAAGAAATGAACATGGAGCTTTTATCCGTCATCGTAACATCTTCCGCCAAGGACATGCTGCGCATCGTTCGTGTTGATCGTTGTGATCTGTCTATCCTCATAGACGTAGTTCTGTCTCGCCCAAACTTCTTCCTTGATCCTGGAACACCTCGTTTTACATGCATAGTAAGGATGAGGCAGTCCTTCACACCTCGAAACATTGCTGCCGGATTTTTGTACTGCTTGCTAGCAAAATGAACATCAAAAAGTTAGCAACTATTGTATTGTTTACGAGAGTGTGATAAGGAATTGATGAATATCATTCGTAAGAGTAGTACTTTCCCATGCTCAAAATTCTGTTTAAGTTCATCAGAATAGCGTATCTTTGAACATTTGCGATAGGAGAGAAAACGATAGTGGAAAACGACAAAAAGAGTCCAACGTCTCTTCTCTATCACAATGATTCAACGGTAGATTAGAAATGCACTGGATAGCAGACGCTTTGTCGAGATTGTGGAAAGAATAGGGAAATTCGTTATACTGTCAAGATCAAGAAAATGTGTTGTTATAACAGCCTCGTCCCCTTAATCATGTCTCACCGACCACTTCTTCCTTCGACTCACCCTTCATTTTATAGTGAGCTTCAATTTTGTGAAGCAATACCCTACTGTTTTTGAGCTTTACTTAATCTTCGATAGACACTCAAAACTCAGAGCTTGTTTTTTGGAGTAAGAATAGAATAAAAAGGTATGGTGAGGTCAGAATAGAGAACATTGTTAATAAATGCGCAGATTCTTTCGATTCCGTTTTCTATGCAAACCGATACTGTGCGAGATTCCTGAGCCAACCATACA